TACACCTACGATTTATAGACTCGCTTCAGTTTTTGAACGAATCGTTAGCATCGTTGACGAAAAATCTGGCACAAGAAGGAGAGAAACATTTCATTTACTTAAGAAAAGGTTTCCCAAACCTAGATCATTTTTCCATGTTGTTGCGGAAGGGTGTTCCTATATGACTACGTCGACGAGGAGAGTAAATTGGAGGAGAGGAGCTTACCTAGCAAAGAGAATTTTTACAGTCGATTGTTAGGGGAACACATCAGCGATGAGGACTTTCACTTTGCCAATAAAGTATGGGAGAAGATGAATGTAAAGACGATAGGTGAATATTCCGATATATACCTTCGAATGGACGTTGCGCTCCTCTCTGACATTTTCGAAGGATTTAGAGACATCTCTCTTCGCGACTACCAACTTGATCCGTGTTATTATTTCACGACCCCCGGATTAAGTTGGTCCGCCATGCTTAAGAAAATTGGCGTTGTTTTTGGGCCTCATTACAGACATCGATATGCTGTTGTTCATAGAGAAGGGGTTGCGAGGGGGAGTGTCCAGCATATTCCATCGATATGCTAAAGCCAACATCCCTACCTCATCGATGATTATGATCCGAGTAAAGAAACATCGTACCTGGGATATTTCGATGCCAATAACCTTTATGGATGGGCAATGAGTCAACACCTTCCCTATGGATTTTTCAGCTCAAGAACAACATTGGATCTTTGACACCTTATTCCAAAGAGGGTTACATATTTGAAGTTGATTTAGAGTACCCCCTGCCTTACACGATGAACACTCTGATTTCCCTTTGGCCCCCGAACGACAGACCATTCGCACTGAGGACCTTTCACCCTACTCTCGTAAGATGCTTGAGGAATTATTGGGAAAGAAGACGTTGGGGTCGTGTGAAAAGTTGGTGCCGAATTTACACGACAAGGAAACATATGTCATTCACTACCGCAACCTACAATTGTTTGGAATTGAGAATGCGACACAAACGAGTTCGAGAAAATGTACTACAAGTTATTAAACAACAGCATATTTGGTAGGTCGTTAATGAACATCCGAAAACACGTCAACGTCAAGCTCTGTCACACAGAAAAAAAGTTCCTGAAATATGCGGCGAGACCATCTTTCAAGTCGTGCACAGTTGTTAACGAGGATCTAGTAGCAGTTGAAAACCTGCGCACACATATTTTAATGAACCAACCAATATACGTAGGTTTCAGCATTCTTGACCTGTCCAAGCACTTGATGTATGACTTTCATTACAAACATATGAAGACGTTATATGGTGAAATAATACGACTCTGGTTCACCGACACAGATAGTTTCCTGTACCACATTCAAACCGAAGACATGTATGACGATATGATTGAATATCAAGACATGTTTGACACCAACGAGTATGATGAAGCCCACATGTTACACAGCAATCATAACAGAAAAGTATTGGGGAAATTTAAAGACGAAACGGAAGGTGTACCTATAAGTGAATTCGTAGGTTTACGAGCTAAAATGTACTCGTATGCATTCGAAGGGGGAAAGAAACATACGGCAAAAGGTATCACGAAATCTGCCTCTCGTTCACTAAAACATGACATGTATAAGCAGTGTTTGTTAGAGAAAAGCGTATATCGCACGCGCATGAATACAATACGAAGTGATAACCACAAAATATTTGCACAAACCATGATTAAGAAAAGTCTAGTTCATTTCGATGACAAACGATGGATCCTGGATGATGGAATTACCACACGAGCCTATGGACACAAAGACAACACTAATCTTTAATCATTTTCATGGTAAATACGTTAGTTTATTTTAATTTGTTTATGTTTGTTATCTTGTAAATACGGTAATTTATGTTTTTTTTTCTCCGTATGCGTAGTGTTTTGTTTTGTGTGATTGTTTATTTGTATTTATATATATATATATATATATATATTCACTTTTTGGTCTTTTGGAAAATGTTGTTTGTGCTGTATTTAGAACCCTCTACCAAGAAATTTGTTTTACATGCACACGTATAAAAATTGCGGTTTTTATCCAACGCAATCATAGGTTTGAACGTTGTTTTCAATTTATACTTGTTTTTATTATTTTGTTTGGGCTTGTATTATATTTTCCTTCGGGTTTATATGATCCGTTCATCCTATTTCGACTCTTTAAACTTTAAGAGTCTGTCCTAAATTGAGGTAAATTATATGGCCTTCCAAATACCGTTTCGATCCCTAACATCATTAAAGAGACATTAATTGTCGAAATCTGGATATGGTGTACAAAAAAAAGAAAAATATTTTGCACTTTATTTTTGCGATATACCATCTTTTCGCAAGTTTATTGTTTTCTGTTTGGTATTAAAATTAATAATTAAGACCCATGTAACATCTGGTGATCAATTTATTTGGCAATCGCCAATGGCAGTCTGCAGGGTTTAAGAACATTAGTTGTTCGACCTGTTAGTCAAATGCGTTTTGTTCAAATATACTTTTCACTTTTTGGTCTTTTGCGGTTTTTATCCAACGCAATCATAGGTTTGAGCAGGCTTTAGCAGTGACAGATAGTTGCCATCTGAAAAGTGAGGTTGTAAATCAATACAAAATAAAGCATATCCATTGTTGAAGTCCGATCTTGTTATTTAATTCCCCGCATCTCCACCCCACTTTCCACAGTTTTTCAAACATTTTAACGTATGCTGCAACATTTGTTGCACCCCTGTCTTCGTTAAATTGTAGTTTCAGAGGAATTCCATCTACAGGAACTCCATCACAGTACAGAGTTATTTGTTGTAAGTCAAAATGTTGAAAATTCCGAGGATTGAGTTGATAATCACCGTTCACAGCGTTTGTCGAAGTTAGACCCATAATGATTCGTTTTGGTTTCACGTCTTGGAAAACGTTCTCCAACACTGCATTCGTACTACCCATCATAAGAGTGATTTGTTTCATTACTGTTTTGGTATAGGGATATTTAGCATTCGTTGATTTCAATGCTTCCGAATGAGCAAAAATGATTGCTGGATTGACCTTAATTTTACACACTTTAACGACAATATCTTAGTCAGCATCGTCTTCGGTCGACATCAGACAGAAATTCGGTCTACTTCTGAAAAGTTTCAATTTTACGTCAACCATATTCAATAAGTAACGATCCATTTCAAAGAGATCGTGAAACAACATTCCCTCCATATCAAGGCTCTTAGAATTACCTATCAGTTTTTTCCTTTCGTAAGCCCAGTGTTTGTGTCAAAAGAGTCCATGTGTTTACTTCTGTCCTTATAAAACTACGCACTCGTTAGTTGTGATGATTTTGCATCGTGTCCATAATCGAGTAACGTTTTCATCATGCATTTGTACGAGTAGTTGGTATTACTGGATGATACCAGTGAACCTTGTAGGTAACAGTCGACCTGAGAAAAAAGTGCATAGAAAAATCCATTTACTGGTGCCACCTTTGAATCTATAGCGATATTGTCTCCATTGCTATGTTTTACGAGCAGCTTAACGTATAGTTTCGATCGTCTAAGGTCGATGTATTCTAGTCCGTTCTGCGCACACAAATTATATTCTATGGGGTTGTAGGCTGTCACTTGCGATGTGGGTCGACATTCTTCATACGAGATTGACTCAACTCCTAACTGGTATAGAGGTATCTCGAAAACTTCTAATTGTGAAGGAATAGCTTCGGTGAAGTTGTTCTGCGATGTTAGTAAAGCCATTTTTAATTGGAAAAAAACGTCTCGTTTCGGTTCTCTTTTCTTTTTGCGGGCACTAGTTCCACTGCTGGTTGGCTTATGACTGGTCTTTCGTTTGCGTTTTGTTTTTCTTTTATATGTAAACCCTCATCTTCTAAAGACTCTTTAGCCATTTCAACTATTTGCTCACTTGGACTAACTAGACGAAGATTGCACTTTTCATTAGATTTCGACGACGTTGACGGCGATCTTTGATTTTGAATGGGTATCATAAAAGACCCATTACGTCCTGTATTTTTCATGTGCGTTATATAAGTTTTATTATTCCCCTGCACAACATTTTGATAATATTTCGACCACTTCTCCATGCTTGGAATGTACATTTTGTCTGTATTCATCGTTAACGCTTCCCCGTTCTTTTTCTAATATGTAGTGTACAGGACAGACGTTGAGTTAAAAATGACGCTTGTTCTCCACTTTCGTCGAAAATATGTATTTCTATGTCGCGGATTTCTGTTTTTTTCACAGGGACGAAAATAGGGTTAGAAAAAAAACGTAATTCCAGGTGTTGTTTGGTGTAGGAAACACACGTCGTAAAAGTGAAAACTGATTGTGAAACAGGCTTACACCCATACACACGTCACAAAAAAATGTATAGTTCGTATTTTTTTTTTTAACAGTTGAAATTTTCTCCTCGGAATAAAAATCCAAAACAGCTATTTCCCATTTCCCCTCTAAATACAAAGTGTCACTTAGGTGAACCTTGAAATTTGAAGGTGTATTTTCGGGATAATACTTATTTGATTGGTCGTTGATTAAGAAAAGAATTTGCTCCTCATCAATATCATTGTTTGTCATGATAGTGTTTGAATGTCTTCCTCGGGAATGTATTGATTATATTTATCAGGCCAACCTTGAAATTTACATAAAAACTCTGTCTTCCCTCGCCTTTTTCGCTTTTTAAGAACTTTTTGTACAACCCAGAGTGATGAATCTGATTTATCAACAGCTTGAAGTTCAGAAGAATAATATTCACCTAAAATCACTTCATTGTTATAAAAGGAGCCCAATTTATAAAGGTTGATGTTCTGCTTTTTAAATCTCCATACAACTTTAAATATCTCATCCGTCCATTTTTGACTATAATTTCTGTGAAAAATGTGTCGCGTATAAGCAATTCTAACAAGAGAACCGATTTTAAATTTGTAACTCTTTCGCCGTTGCATTCTTATTTTTCTCATCGAATCTGCTTCGGTTTTAAGTTGTTTCGTGTTTTTGGTATTTGGTCGACTCATCTTATCAGGTGATTGTTTTTTGTTCAAGTATTGTTGAACCCATACATCCGCTTCATTTTCAGGTGTAACATCGTTGGGCGCAATGTAGTTTAAGGACCTGTGTGGTGTTGCATTGTAGCTCTTTACAAATTTTTGTAAGTTGTCAATGTAGCGATACGTTCTCTTTTTAGTAAAGTAACGATAACATTTGTTTTTTATGGTTTGTATCACACGCTCTGTATAGTTTGCTTTAATCTCGTTCTTAGAAAAAATCAAGGTTTCATCAAAAGGTGAGATATCTGTACATTTTTTTAACAAATATAATACAAGATCAAAAGCATAAACTTCACACACAAACACACTATTAAAACACAAAGTCAGATCAAAAGTATAAACTTAACACACACACACACACACACACACACACACACACACACACACTTTTAAAACATAAAGTCAGAACTTACAATACAAGAAAACATAAGATAACAAACTTTATTAGAAACACAAAAACTATGTACATCTTGTTGTCTCTGAAATGTGGATAAAGAGAGGTAACTCTAATTTCCATAGAATATCACTTTTCTGTTTAAAGCTTTAAAATTGCACCAATGATATAATAAAAGCACTATAAATGAGAATGTTTTCATTTGCATAATCTGAATAATTTGTCAGATTCTTTTAAAACATATGGTTGATGGGAGGTTAATCGAATTTTGTTTAGAATAGCATTGTTTTTATTTAAGAATTACAAACTACATACTTCTTCACCTAAAAATGTTTTTAAAAAAAAACATAATATATTCTTTTGCACTAGAAGAAAGGGAATGAAGTTTGTGAGCACTAATTGAGTAACAAACAAACATTTTATGTAAAATAACAGCACTAATACAAAGACAGACAATCATTTTATCTGAAATCATATTATGTTCAACAGCTTAAAAAAAAAAAAAAAGACAATACAAAAATGAATAAAATGCTTCACTAAGCGCAGCCTGATACGACCGCAGTGGTCCAACCCTGAACATTTGGGGCAAATTTGGATGCAATATTCAAGCTTGATACTGTCTGAATTTTGATTGTGATAATAAAGGTTTCTGACACAAAATTAATGTGGTCAAAGATCTTACAAATCTATTGCCCAATACTGCGCAATTGAAGATTTCTTCTTTAAACTTTTCAAAAATTTGAAATTTGAAAATTTTTGAAAAAAAATATGAATTCTTAAAAAAATTGTGATATGGAACCTTGTGGTACAATGTCAGAGAGATCCATACACTTACACACAAGTTATTGTCCGGAAACTACAAAAATTGTTGATTTTGGCTCCTTTTTGGCCCTTAATTCCTAAACTGTGGGCCCCAATACCCCTTAAATGAATCCCAACCTTCTACTTGTGGTATTAAACATTGTGGTACAATTTCAGAGCAATCAAAATACTTATACACAAGTTAATATCCTGAAACTAGAAAAATGCTTGTTTTTGGCCCCTTTTGGGCCCCTTATTCCAAAGTGGTTATGACCATCATCCCCAAAATCAATCCCAAACTTCCTTTTGTGGTATTGAACCTTCTTAAAAAATTTCATAGAGATCCATTCACTTAAACTAAAGATATTGTCTTCGGACGACGACGCAGACGACGACGACATCATACCATTATACATTTTTTAGAAAGAAAAAAATATGCAAGTGTTAACATGAAATCTATGACAATGTGCTTATCAACACACAATCTTAAAGAAAAATTTGGAGCTGAGATTTTTACCATTAATAGATTAATCATATAGATTGTGTTCATAACAACAAACTTTCAGAAATAATGCATGCATGTTTTTTCAACATCTTTTAAGGAATGATTATCCTTTATAACAAAACTATTTCAAATGAAAACAAGAAGAAAAAAGGTCATGTTCTAATTTGTTTTTGATTCTTTGTTTATTGCATATTTTACACGACAACCAATATTTATAAATACTAACCATTTTTTCAAATGAAATTATAATTCAATTTTCATCATGAGTACCCAACAAGAAATCATAATGTTGAAAAAGGAACTGTTTAATTAAATGGCAAAAGTCAGAAGGTTGGAAAAAAAAAACAGAACAAAACTATTGAAAAGGTAAGTGAAAATTAATTGTTTTTTTGTGTCTTCCGGTGGTTAAAAAGTAGATATTCTGCAGTTACCCTATCAAATCTTCTCTGAAAATTGGGTTTATTGGTAGTAGATAGAGAACACCAATAACACAAACTGCCAAAATGTCTGGAATAAAAAAATCAAAAGGAAGAAATTATTAGTATGCTAAAAAGGAGATTACTTTTGTTTCCTTTCATTTAAAACACAAAATTCAACCTCTGATGATAAATGAGATGTAATGCTAGGCACCCTTTTTAACTCAATAATATTTACGTGATAATATGATTTTCTCTTTTTACAATATGTACAAAAAAACTTAACAAATAAAACAAATAAAATTGATACAGAAAACACAGAAAGACAAGCGACTACAATTATCCATTTCCTATGACTTTCTGTTCCTTCGTTAGCTGTAAAAAACAATTATCAATACTTAGTTAATTTATGATAAAATCATTATTTTGGAATGAATGATATATTTTTATTTCCTTTCTCTTCATCCACTTACATAAACTTTATTGACATGTAAATTTAATGATTTTCTTATTTTATTTAAATTCAAATCTTTAAAATTAAAACTTACAAAATATTATGTGAGTGGTGTGTCCTTCTTCTTTATCAAACTCTTTCACTCCAAATGTAGTGCTTATTCGCTTATTCCTAATTAAATAGAAAATAATATTTGTTATCAAACACTAACACTTTTCTTTTTATTTTGTATGTTGTTTTACATGTTAGAAGTGTGGTTATGGCATACAGGTATATTTTCTTTATTGTCTTTACTTAAATATATGAATATTATATACACTTATCTTACCTAGTGATATTTTTTCTGTGGGTGTTACTTCTTCTTTTGCTTTCGAGCTGTATGTTTCAGTGGCTGTGTCCTAAAAAAGTTAGTCATAACAACGAGTTGTAAACAATGATTATTGTCTTAACTGTTTATTTTTTCTTCTTTTTAGAATCAAGTTATTGACTTAACAAATAGTGAACAGGAGATGATGGAAATAGACAATCATGCTATAGCTAGTGCAAGCTGTAGTCAACATTAACAAAAAGATGTAAGCATAACTCTTTTAAAAATATAATCTTTTAGATTACAATAATCATAATCAAAATATATGGTTTAACATGAGTAATTGTGATTTATACCTAATGAAATATTCAAATAATAAGGTTTTTTTTTATGGTTTATAAAACAAATTGATGACTTAGTTCACTTTCTTTACATAGACATATGTCTCTGAAACATAAAACACTATGTTAATTTCTATAAAAAAGGAAATAATTATTTCAACATTTTCTGTGTATTCATGTGTACAATATTTTTTTTTTATCAGGACATATCATTAGTACAAGAAATTGAAGAGGCAAGTGAAAGATTTCTCAATGTGAGTGTATAATTATTTTTTCAACATTAATTCTATTTTCATCAATAATGGAAATCAAAATTTATACCACCTGGTTGATTTTCTTATATGGTCACATGATTAACACTTCCGAATAAGGTATACAAATAATATCACATGCTTTCCTTAAATGGTCATATGATTAACTTCCTAATATGGTAATCGCGCTTACCATTCAAATTATTGTAACTATTTTTTCACTTGTAAAATTTAAAGGGGCACTAGCTACGAGATATATAAAAAATCTAATATATGATTTTTTTTTGTTCAATCATTAATAAAAGTGAAATAGTGAAATAATTATTCGCTTTTAGCCGCCAGTATGGTTTAATTTTGTTAAAATAAGCTAAGAAACAATGATGATGAATTATTCACTTGCAAGTCAATAATTCGACCTCATTGAATCCGTATTCATGTGAACTTCAATTTAACCCCTTAGCTAGAGATGGATAACACGTGAATTGTATGTGTAAAGTTATTTAAAGGAAAGGAATGTCAACATTGAAAGTAAAATAAAGGTAAATCATTTGATTCACTGATCCAATCCACAAAAAAAAACATTCTTATACAGGTAAAAACGATGATGAACATATATTTTTAATCTATAATATGAAATTAAACAGACCTAGAAAAATCCAAAAGCGCGTATTTTCTTAATCTATTTATATCTTTATTTATTTTTACATCGCTTATATGGTCATCGGATGACTTTGGAGGTCAACTCGATAGTTAATTAGATGGCGTCTAGACTAAAATACACACGAAACGAAGCTACGTGTTATCATGCCCATGTCCTGTTAACTGTTTATTTTAGACTTTTAATAGTTTGGATAAATATTTTACATTGTTATAAATTAAATATGAGAATTTGCGTCAAATTGGTGAACATGAATTTGACAGCTAGTGCCCCTTTAATCAAAAACAAAGTACTTACATACGATGAGCATTCTTCCTCCTTCACCACTATAATCTTCCCTTCCACTGTATCACATAGCTCTTTATTGGATAATGTTAGTTCAAAGACACAAGTAGCTTTAACATGGATATTTCGAATCTGTTCGCTTTTGATAACATAGTTCATAAACACTCTGTTGATAGAAGGATCTATCTCTCCACTAAAGTACACAACACCATCACCTCGACAATCCATTATATCTTCACTTATATAACATTCTGCTGTATTTGTAACACTTCCCACACGGGTTATTGATAACAAACAACACACGACAACAAACAAAAAACATGGCGATCATCTTCAATTTCTATAATAAGTGTGTGAAGAGGTTACGTCAAGTGGGTGAATAAAGGAAAGCTTTTATTGTCTTTACCTGATTAAAAGAACGACTTTTTTTGAAGAAAAATAAGAATTTCATCAATATTGTTTGTATTCATATCAAATAATTAATCATTATTTATTACTAAAAAATGAATACTTAATTACAATTGTATATATGTTTTAGGAACCGATGGAAGTGGATGTTGTCGATAGATTTATAGACGATCAAAAACGATTATTTAAAGCAAAAACAAGAAGAAGTAGAGGGGAGTAAGCAGTAGCAGAGAAAGAGTAAAAAGACAATCTTGAATATTTCAGAATTTACAAAGAAAAAGAGAAAAACTTTTTTTTATTTTAACTGTCCTTTTTTGACTAGTTTGTAAGAAAATAAAGTTAGTGGTTCGTAAATATTTCTTCTTTCTTTCTTGCAATCTGTGTTGTAGAGTATTTCCTTTAAAATAAAATTAGTCTGTCTCTCTTTCCGTTACATTTCATTCCATTTAATCAAACAAAGGATCCGCTAATTTAGTCCGAAAAACAAATGGATTTAAATTATCTGCAAACAATTGGTTAATTATTGTGTTATTATTTTATGTGTAAAGAAACTATATATAGATGAGACAACATGGTGTTTTATTTTTAAACAAACTAATCGAGAAAATAAAGAAAAAAATATCATGAATTTACAAAGAAAAAATCGAGAAAAATAAAGTTAGCGGTTCGTAAATATTTCTTCTTTCTTTCTTGCAATCTGTGTTGTAGAGTATTTCCTGTAAAAATAAAAATGGTCTGTCTCTGTTTCCGTTACAATTCATTCCATTTAATCAAACAAAGGATCCGCTAATTAAGTCCGAAAACAAATGGATTTGAATTATCTGCAAACAATTGGTCAATTATTAAAAGTGATTCCTCTAATCTAGGATATCAATTATATTATATATCGTTTCTCTAATCAGAAGACAAATAGATTATAATTAGCAATTGTTTACTCTAATTAGGATTAAAAGGGGGAACAAAACATTGAGGATCAATAATCTAGATAAAAGATAAGGATGATCTTAATCCGATTAAAGTTGCACCATAAGCTGGACTAAGAAGATTAGAGTGCTCAAAGTCGTCCCATAAGCTGGATTAAGAAGATTAGAGAAAGCTGGAAGATTAGATGGGATAAGAGGAATCCTCATTATCCTCAATTGAGGAGTGCAGTCTCAATATACACTACTTCTGAAGCGGACCTATAATACAAGTATTATGAGTATGCAGGTAACATTATAACAAGGTAATAAAAATTGAGAAAAATTAATAAATAATAAATTAAAAATAAAAATAGGGTTTTATGAAGAGAATTAGTGCAAATATTAAAATCTTTTCCTTATTTTCTTTCCTCTCATATGACTGTAAAAGGAAGCTTTGATTATGCTAGGTTGAACAAATTAATGTCAGAACTGGATTTTTTCTTTGAAGATTTTTTTTTTCTTTGCAGAGGTTTATCCTTCTAACTCTATTTTGACCTTTGGTCTGACAGTGGTTGCAAACCTGTTATTTGTTATGTTGTGTGTTGTCTCATTTCAGAAAATGGGGATTGTAAAAAAAAAACATTTATTAATGTAGGATTTTGTTTCTGTTTTAAATCATTCAGAAATTGTCAGGACTTAGGAGAAATAGACCTTGAGTTGTCATGCCTGTATTTTATAAGATATATGTTAAATCTTCAATTTTTCAACAGAAAATAAAATCTTCAACTCTTATTATTAAATGAAAACACCAGTCCCTCCATTGTTGAAAGCTTAATAATATGACTAAAAAATGCACTTTCAGGCTCCAACAAAAAGGTCATCTTACTTTATAGAACATGGGCCTGTTTATCGAAACTGTCCTAAGATCGGTCCTAAGAATTTCTTAGGACAGAAATTAGGATAAAGTTAGGACCGACTTACGACACGTCTCAGCATGCACATCGAAGCTATCTTAGGATTATCTTAGGAAGGACGTCCTAACCGCTGTCCTAAGTATTTTGTAAAAGAAAATAGCAAATTAAAAATGAAAAAAATGAAAATATTGTATTAAATTTAACTAATTTCTATCAATTTAAAAAAAGATTGATAATTATAAAATAATTATTAGTTTTAAATTAAAGGTAATAAATAATTTCTATATTATAATTGTTTATTTAAACTCTATGAAACAAAACAAAAGACAAAAATATAATTCAGTGACGTTTTATATTTAAGAATTGAACAAACTAATTGTAAATAGTTAAAATTAAATATGTAATCGGTAAAATCATTATATGCTTTGAGTGAGCTGAATTCGAAGTGTCACGGTTTCATACTTAAAAGTTCAAAGGCAAATCTCGTGCATCTTTCATATAAATGTATTTATAAAGGTTACTCGGGAACACGTGTATTTGTTTACTTTTAACACGTGTGTTTAAATCAAAACATGTTTATGTTTAATTTGATTGGACCATCAGTAAGTTATTACCGGTTTAAGTTATATCAATCATGATAACTTCATGCTAGAATTTTAGCGCTAAAATTATAATAAGATATCTAGAATTGTCATTCGAGGTTCGCCTATCCGACAGAAAGGTTCGTTTTTTCTTAAATCGCCACTTGGTAAAATGTCCGAATCTTCTCCACGTCTGGAATTGAATGAAGACATACTACTCGAAGGAGATAATAGTTTACCGCCACCTAATATTCATAAAGCAGCTGATAAGTCGTCTGATTTGGTAGATACTGTAGAGCTTTTTAAGACAATTTTAGACAGCAAGTTAGGTGAGTTGAAATCTGAACTCATACAAGAACAAGATTGCCTTAAGAGAAAAATTAAGGAGGACGTCACTCTAAAATTTAAGGGGGAAGGAAACAGAATTCAGTACACCTTTAACGAGGAATTATTAGACACTGTTAATAAACTTTCAAAATTCATCCCTAACTCCAATACTCAAGCCTATAGATTAGTTCTTGACATAACTGATAAGATCAAAAGCCGTAATAAGAAAATACGCATAGCTGATGCTTCCCCTGCTGGTTGGGGAACCGTTAGGGAATACGAATCCAATGCCGTGGCTTCAGATTCTGAAGATGAGAGAAAGATACGACAAGCTGAGACCAGAGCTATCCGTACCTCCAAGGAGAAGTCAAAATCTCGCCAGCAACCTTACCCAAAAAATCCGCCTCGTCAACAACCTGCGGAATCTTATGGTAACCCTGCTTACGCTCAGCATTATCAACGTAATCAGCAACAGCCCTTTCGTGGGAGCTTCGCAAGGCGTGAGCCTTGCTCAATCGACACGTGCCACTACTGCAAGCAACAAGGCCACTGGAGAAAAAACTGTCCTCTTCTCGCCAGTCTCAGGTCATCTAACAGCAACTCCACAACCTACCAGAAGTAGTAAAGTAGGGCCTGAACGTCACTCTCCAGTCATTGTGAATGATAAGTATTTAGACACTATTAATGACCAATTTTCTACATGTTTTGTTGATAACGATTATATAGAATCTTTTTTAGATCAAGTTCAATATTTTGAAAATTGTCAGTCATATGATAAATTTAAAGGGGTGAAAGGTAGATTAGCTTGTCATGTAAAGTATTGGGAAAATATAGGTGCTTGTCCTTTTGTGCTTGATACAATAAAAAATGGTTATGTTATTCCATTTATAGATACACCTTTTAAAATGTACCACAGAAATAATAGATCAGCACGGCAGAATACTGAATTTGTCACAAAGTCAATTGAAGATTTAGTTCAAATAGGTTGCGTAATTAAAGTGCCTTTTCAACCATATGTGGTAAATCCATTGAGTGTTGCTACTCAAAAGTCCGGTAAGAAACGACTTATTTTAGATATGAGTCAATTGAATAAACACATAAAGCGCGAAAAAATAAAATTTGAGGATTGGAAGTTAGCTATACAATATTTTGACAAAGATATGTATCTGTTTAAGTTTGATTTAAAATCTGGTTATTTTCACTTAGACATATGCTCACAGCAACAGACTTTCTTAGGTTTTCAGTGGGAAGGTCAATTTTATTGCTATACTGTTTTAGCTTTCGGAATTACTACCGGTCCGTACATTTTTACTAAATGTTTGAGGCCACTAGTAAAATTTTGGCGTGGAAACGGTATAAAAGTTGTTTTGTATTTAGATGATGGATTTGGCATGAGTCCAGATGAAAATACATGTAATGAGCAATCGTCCTTCGTAAAAAGGTCTTTGATTGATGCTGGTTTCCTTATTAACGAGGAGAAGTCTGTTTTTAAACCTGTTACCGAGTTAGAATGGTTGGGAATAGTTTGGAACTCGAAAGAATACAAATTATCTATTACTCAACGTCGAGTTGACGATTTGATTTTCTCATTGAATGTAATTTTGGCTAAATTTCCCTATGTTACAGCTAGATCTTTAGCTCAGGTTGTAGGTAGAATTATTTCTATGACTCCCGTAATCGGAAATGTGGCTAGAATTATGTCAAAGTTCTGTTACATGGAAATTGAAAGTAGAATTGGGTGGGATATTCCCATTACAGGGTACAAACCCGTCGAGGTTTTATCAGAGTTAAAGTTCTGGTTAGAAAATGTCACCATGATTAACTATCGTAATTTATGTCATTACAGTAAATCTTCTGTTGTCATATACTCAGATGCTAGTAATATTGCCGCTGGTGCATACACCGTTGAATTAGAAAATAAGATTTTCCATAAGATGTGGACATGTAGTGAAACGGTACAAAGCTCCACATGGAGAGAGCTGAAAGCTATAGAGTTGGCCCTTTTTTCTTTTAAGAATAGTTTCACAGGAAAAACTATAAAGTGGTTTACTGACAATCAAAATTGTGTCAAAATTGTTAATTAGGGAAGTATGAAAGAAAATCTTCATGTTATAGCAAAATCTATTTTTTCATTTTGCATTCAAAAAGGAATATCAATTGACATTCAATGGATTCCCAGAAAAGAAAATGAAAAGGCTGATTATATCAGCAAAATGGTTGATTTCGAGGACTGGGGAGTCACACATATATTTTTCAATTTTTTAAATGATATGTGGGGTCCTTATTCGATTGACAGGTTTGCAAGTGTCGAAAATAGAAAAGTTATGAGATTTAACTCCTTATTTTGGCAACCTGATTCTGAAGCAGTTGATGCATTTTCTCAAGTTTGGACCAATGAAAATAATTGGCTAGTTCCACCAATTAATCTTGTGATACGATCGATTAAACACATTATAGCTTGTAAAGCTCGAGGCACGTTAGTTGTGCCTAAGTGGATTTCTGCTGCATTCTGGCCTTTGATATTCGATAAACATCTGATTTATCAAGATTACGTAAAAGATGTTATTGTGTTTAAAAATACTGATGGTATTTATAAGCAAGGTTCGAATAAGAATACGATATTCGGAATT